TTCCTTATCCTGTAGGTAATATATTTGTTTCCATTAACCAGTAAATAAGCTTCCTTTAAACCATTTGCTCCTTTAAGCAATATCAAAAGTTAGATGCCCAAGATTGCTTGGAGGTGGAGAGAGCTTTGACCAGTTCAGTTGTGAATGAGGTTTAGAAGAGTTTAGGGGCAGGAGGGTAGGGACCTCACAGTAATGCTTCCTGCTATTCCACCATCTTGACTCTATCTCAGATGACGTCATACTTTCAGACAAAATACTCTTGCTAAATTTTTGACAAGGAAGCTTTGTTTATGATTTCACAGGAATTCACCTTTCAGTAATTTATTTTCTATGCCTGAAACTTTTTAAACTTTTCTACAATTGTTTTCTTTATTAGGATCACACTCTCTCCATTTTTCTACCTTTCTCTTTTTAATAACCCTAACCTGCATGCTCTCAGCCAGTCCTTGAAATAAACCTGAAATGTCCAATCTGTTTTTACTATATTCAGGTATTCTTTTAACAATCAGTGGCTCTGGTGGTTTCATTTTTCCTTCATTTTATGATGGATTTTCCTGAACTTGGTTAACATAATTACAGAAAAGAAAGAATATCACATATTTTCATAGGTAGAGAAGTGTGGAACCAATTGCCTCTCATGACACTGAATTCTCTAGTATTGACCCCTCCATTACAGCTATCATGCTGATGCTAGAGTTAGCTTCTAAATACTTCCATAATATCACTTGAACCCAACTTCCCTACTTAAAAACTTCTAGTGACTCCTCACTTTCTCTATCAAGTAAAGTCTAAACTACTTAATCTAGGATTCTAAGCCAGGTCCAACCTTCTAACCTTTTTTTTTTATAGTTATGCTTTTTAAAATTTTCAGTTAAACATTTTTCTCCCTCCCACCTTCCTCTCCTATCCCCCAACTTGGTTAAAAAAAAAAGAAATTAAAAACCTTTGTAATAAATAAGCATATTCAGGTAAACAGATTCCCACATTTGTGACATGCAAAAATCTATGTCTCATCCTATATATTGTTCCATTGCTTTTTTGTCATGAGGTGTGCAGTATTTTTCATCATCAATCTTCTAGAATCACGATGGTTTTATTGAGCAGAGTTCTTAAGTCTTTCAGAATTGTTCACTTATAATATTGAAGTTGTAGTTTAAATTATTCTCCTGGTTCTACTCACTTTACTTTGCTTTACTTCACACAAGTTTTCTCATGTTTCTCTGAAACAGTTTTCATTTCTTTAAGTACAATAGTATTCTATTATATTAATGTACCTTAACTTGTTCAGCTCTAACTCAATTTTTGGGTACCCTCTTCATTTCCAGCTCTTTGTCACTAAAAAAAAAAAGCTGCTTTAAATATGTTGCATCTATATATCCTTTTCCTCTTTCTTTGATATCTTTGATATATAGGCCTAGTAGTAGTATTGCTAAGTCAAAGGGTAAGTGTAGTTGAGTAGCTTTTAGATCATAGTTCTAAATTGCTTTCCAGAATGGCTGGACCAATTCACAGCTTCATCCACACGGCATCGGTGTGCATTCTACCCCCCCACCCCCACCCCCCATCCCTAGTCCTCATAGCCCCTCCAACATTTTTCATTTTCATATTTTTGTCAGTTTTGCCCCTCAGATATGTATGAGGTAGAACCTCAGAGTTGCTTTAATTTACATTTCTGTAATTATTAGTGATCTGGAACATTTTTTCAATGGCATTTGATAGCTTGCATTTCTCTAGAGTTGCCTTTGTATATCCTTTGACCACTTATCAATTATGGAAAGGCTTTTATTCTTATACATTTGAATCAATTGCTTGTGTATCTTAGAACTGAGACCTTTATCAGAGAAATGTTGCAAAGTTGTTTTTTCCCCCAGTTAGCCATTTCTTTCTAATCTTAGCTGCACTGGATTTGTTTGTGCAAAACCTTTTTAATTATATGTAATTAAAAATTGCCCATTTAATCTTTTTGTGATCCTCTCTATCTTCTGTTTGATCATAAACTCCTCCCCTAACTGAAAAGTAATTTCTTCTTTATTCCTCTGATTTGTTTATGATGTGACCTTTTATATGTAGGTCATGTATCAATTTGGAATTTATCTTGGTATATGGCGTAAGGTGTTGGTCTGTTCCTAGTTTTTGCCAGATTGCTATTCAGTTTTCTTGTCAATTATTGTTAAGTAGCAAGTTTTTACTTTAGTACTTGCAGTCTTTGGGTGTATGGAAAACTGTTACTAGGCTTGCATTTCTATATTGTTTACTATCTGTTCTACTGACTGTCTTTTCTGTTTTTTAACCAGTATCAAATTGTTTTGATGATTATTGCTTTGTAGTGTTGTTTGAGATCTGGTACTCCTAAGTCTGCCTCCTTCATACTTTTTTTTCATTATTTCCACTTGAGATTTTTTTTTTGTTTCTCTAGATGTATTTCATTATTATCTTTTCTAGTTCTATAAAATAATTCTTTGATAGTTAGATTGGTATGTCACTGAAAAAGTAAATTAATTTAGATACTATTGTCATTTTTATTATATTGGCTTGGCCCTATCCATGAGCAATTAATATTTTCCCAATTGTTTAGGTCTGTCTTTATCTCTATAAATCTCCGGTTGGTTTTATCATTTCTCCAATGGCCTTTTATTTTATATTTTTTATTGCATTTTGGTTAGTAAAGAGGTGTTTAATATTATTGCTTTTTCTGCATTTGTTTGTGAGGCTTTTATTCCCTAATACATGTGTTGATTTTTTTTTTAAAAGGTGCCATGCATGGCTTTGAGATAAGTATGCTCCTTTCTATTCCTCTTCAATAATTTCCAGAGACCTAGCATATCTAATGTTTCTAAAATTTTATCTAATCTTCTAAACTTCAGATCTTTAACTTCTTTCTTGTTAATTTTTTGGTTAGATTTCTCTAGCCCTGAAGTCCCTCACTATTGTAATTTTAGTGTCTATTTCTCCCTGTAACTCATTTAACTTTTTTTTGAAGTTTTTAGCTGCTATTCCATTTGATACATATATCTCAAATATTGAAGTTTTTATGGGACTTTTTTGGGCAAAAATGTAATTTCCCTGTTTATCTCTTTTAATTGAGTCTATTTTGGCTGTTGATTTGTCTGGAATCATAATTTCTAACCCTGTTTTTTGGGGAAAAAAATTCAGTTGAGGCATAACAGATTTGCTCTAGCCCCTTATTTTTAACTCTGTGTGAACCTTATGTTTTAAATGTGCTTATTATGAACAATATATTATTAGATTCTTCTTTCTCAGCTATTCTGTTATCCTTTTTTGTGTGATAGGTAAATTTATCCCATTCACATTCAAAGTCGTGATTATTGATTATGTGTTTTTCTTTCTCCTATTCTCTTGTACTTTTTCCTGTCTTTACTCTTCTGCCTTTTCTTTATCACAGATTCTTACCCTTTCTTTCCTTTTAAATCACTTTTCATGATCTGCCTCTCAAAGCTTGGGGTTACTTTTGCTTATGACTAATCCCTCCTTGAATCTGCCCTTCCTCTCACCCTTTTTCCTTTCTCTGTCTCTTCCTTCTTGGTTCCCTGGTGAATTGAGTGTATTTTTATACTAACCTCTTTATATATGTGTATGTAAGAGGGATCTACTCTCCTTTGACCAGTTTAGATGAAAATGAGGTTCAAGTGACATGAGCTTCCCCTGCTCCTTCCAGATTTATATAAGCTTCTATTTGTGTAACTTTTTATTATTATTATTATTATTTTAAATTTTCTTTTCTGAGGCAATTGGGGTTAAGTGACTTGCCCAGAGTCACACAGCTACGTAAGTATTATGTGTCTGAGGTCGCCGGATTTGAACCCAGCTCCTCCTGACCCCAGGACTAGTGCTTTATTCACTGTGTCACTTTGCTGCCCCTTGTGCAACCTTTTTATGGAGAAAATAAGTTCTCTCACCTCCCACATGCTCCCCTTTTTTCTTAGGATATCCTTTTCTTATTCCTTCCCTTTTTTATTTCAGTATCATCAAAATATAATAAATCATTCCCAGGTCCTCTGTCTTGACTCTCTTTACTATCTCTGATGACATTACTGTTCTGAAAGGACTCTTGTATTATCTCCCCACCCACTATAATGTAAACAGTTCATCTTTATATAGTCCCTTCTTTTGCTTATTTGTATTTATACCTTTTTATGTTTCTCTTATCTCCCATGTTTATTTCAAAGTTTCTATTCATTTCTGATCAGGTAGTCAGAAATGCTTGAAAGTTTTCTGTTTCATTGATGGTTCCTCTCTCCCCCTCCCCTCATTTTAGTATAATCAGTTTTATTGTGTAAGCTAGCCTATACCTTTTGTGTTTTGGAATATTACATTCTATGCCTCCTGCTTCTTAATAGTGGTAGCTGCTAAATCTTGTGTAATCCTGGCTATGTTTTTTTTGATACTTTAATTCTTTCTGTCTGGCTGCTTGAAGTATTTTTTTCTTGGACCTGGAAGCTCTGGATTATGCCATCATGGTCCTGGGAATTGTTGTTTTGAGGTAGTTGTTGTTTTCAGGAGGTGATTGGTAGGTTCTTTCTGTTTTCTCTTTGCCTGTAGGGCACTGTTTCACATATCTCAGCTCTGCCCTTAACCAGCTAGCTGTATGACCTTAAACCACTTCACCTAAAGTGAGAGGACTGAAGAAAATGATCTTAATATCTCTTTCCTCTCTTAAATCATATGATTCTAAATAAATAAAGAATCCTGATACAATTGACAAAATAATTTAACTAAAATGTTTAGAAACAGTATACTAAAAAACTGTCAATAAATAGAGACAAGTCAGTCCTCTGATAATCCCTCCCACAATACTAAATTTTGGGTCTAAAAATTTCTTTGGATTTTCCCCGTGGTACCATCTACACTATACCATTATGCATTACACCACTTGCTAGAATCTCTTTCTTAGTACTGACACACATTCTATTTATTTTTAAGTCCAGTGTTAGTCTTACTCTCTTCTCTTTCTTATGCAAAAATATTATCTGTTGTTTCAGAAATCAAGCAAAGAAATGAATGTGGTCATACAACGCCTAGAACGATTGCAAACATGTATCTTGAAACAGAGAAAATCTGGCTCAGTGGCAGAATCAGGAGGAAGCAAGTTGATACATCAAGTCCTGCCTGAAAAACATGAAGATAAAATGGAAGATTTCATTTCTAAAAGACCTGTAAGACAAACCGTCCTAACTTTAGAAAATCTTGGGAAAGTTCAGATTGATAGGTAAGAGAGAGAAAATATGTAATCACTTTAATAACTGGATAGATGGATGGATGGATGGATGAATGAAAAAAAACCCAAGCATTTGTTAAGCACTCACTTTATGCCAGGCACTGGGCTAAGCACCAGGGGTATGAAGAAAGGCAAGAACAGTCCCTGTCCTCAAGGAGCTAATATTATGATGGAGACAACATAAAAGCTGTAAATAGAGTACAGAATAGGTAGAAGGCGGTCTCAGAAGGGAAGGCAGTAGCAGCTAGGATAAAAGGAAAAGGTCTATGAAAGAAGATGGAATTTGAGCTGAGTCCTAAAGGAAATCAGGGAAACTAAAAGGTGAGAGGTGCAGAGCATTCCAGGGATGGGGTACATCCAGTGTAAAGGCAATGAGAGGGAGATGTTGTGTCTTGCTCAGGGAGCAGCAAATAGGCCAATGTAGTTGGGACCATAGAGTAGATGGAGGGAGAGAAAAGTGTAAGAAGCTTGGAAAAGCAGGAAAGGGTCAGGTTATCAAGAGTTTTTATAGCCAAATATGTAAATTTATATGTGATCTTGGAGGAAATAGGGAGCCACTAGACTTACATGTTAGGAAAATCAGTCAGGTGGCTGAGTAGTGAAAGGATGGGAGTAGGGAGAGACTTAAAACAAGGAGACCAATTAGAAGGCAATTGCAGTAGTTCAGGTAACGGTGATGGAGACCTGTATTAGGGTAATAGCCATGTGAGTGGCAAGTAGATGACATATGTAAGAAATGTTATGGGGGCAGCTAGATGGCGCAGTGGATAGAGCACTGGCCTTGAAGTGAGGAGGACCTGAGTTCAAATGCAGCCTCAGACTAAACACTTAACACTTACTAGCTGTGTGACCCTGGGCCAGTCACTTAACCCCAATTGCCTAAGAGGAAAAAAAAAGTTATGAAAGTAGAAATGACAAGATTTGGCAACAGATTGAATGTGGGTTGAGTAAGAATGAGTCAAGGATGACAGTGAAGTTGTAAGCCTGAGTGACTGGGAAGATGGTGGTACCCTGGACAGTAATGGAAAGTTTGGAAAGTGAGAGGGGTGGGGAGTGGGGAAGATAATGAATTCTTTTTTTAACATTGAGTTAGAAATGTCTATGAGACATCCATTTCGAAATGTCCAAAAGGCAGTTGGTGATGAGGGGCCTGGAGCTCAGGAAAGAGGTTGGGACTGGGTATGGAGATCTATAAATCATCTGTATAGAGATGATAATTGAACACATGGACTGAAGAAGTCACCATGTGAGACAGAGTTTGAGGAAAACAAGAAAAGGGCCCAAGGCAGAGATTTGGTGTGCACCCACAATCAGTGGGAATGGCATGAAGGAAGATGGAGCAAGAGAGGCTGGGAAGGAGCAATCAGACGCATAGGAGGAGAAACAAGAGGAAGCAGTGTCACAACTTAGAGAAGAGAAAGTATCCTGGGGGAGAAGATAATCAACTGTCAGATACTGCTGAGAGGTTAGAAAGAGAGCATTGAGAAAAGGCCATTGGATCTGATGATGATCTTGGTGACTTGGGAGAGAACAGTTTCACTTTAGGTAAAGATGAGATCAGAAGCCAGCATACTATTTGCTCTCCTTTTCCGTTGCTGTTTTATTTTATTGCTTCATTCTCGTGGCTCCTCCCGTTAGTTCTAATTGTTCTTTACATCATGACTAATGGGAAAATATACTTAACATGAATGTATATGTAGACCCTATATTGGATTGTGTGTTGTCTTGGGGGGGAGGGGGAAGAAATGAGAGGGGGAGAAAATTTAAAACTCAAAATCTTATGGAAGTGGGGGCAGCTAGGTGGTGTAGTGGATAGAGCACCGGCCCTGAAGTCAGGAGGACCTGAGTTCAGATCTTGCCTTAGACCAAACACTTAACACTTACTAGCTATGTGACCCTGGGCAAGTCCCTTAACCCTAACTGCCTAAAAAAAAAATCTTATGTAAGTAAATGTTGAAAACTAAAAATAAATAATTTTTTTAAAAAAGGAGCCAGATTGCCAAGGGTTTAGAAGAGAGGGAAAGAAGTAGAAATACCAAATGTAGATAGCTTTCTTAAGGAGTTTATTGGATAAGGGGAGGAAAAATATGATAGGATGACAGCTAGTTGGAATAGCAGGATCCAGTGAGAATTTTTTTTTAAAAGAATGGTGGGTTTGCATCTATTTCCAGGCAGCAGGGAAGGAATCAGTAGATAAGGAGAGATCGAATATTGGAAAGGGGGAATAACTCTGAGGGAGGGGGGGGCAATCTATTGGAGAAGACTGGAAAGAAAGGGATCAAGGATACATTAGATATGTTGTCATTGGCCAGGAGAAGGGTCGCTTCTTCATTCCAAGACCAGAGTGAAGGAGGAAATGGTGGGAAAGATGTCTGAATGGTATGAGATGAAGAGAGAATAAGAGGGAGCTAATGGCTTCAGAAGATCTGACAAGGGAGTGGGAGATGGGGAGGGAAGCTTGAGGAGAAATGAGAAAGTTTAAAAAGTCTCTATGGAGAGTGAGATAGTAAAATCAACTACAGTATGTCCATGAGAAACTGAATGGACAAGTAGCCACATATTCTCAGTTGGTCCTGGGTAGTGACACTTTTTGTTTCATGGAGTTCAGTCATGCTGCCTAGATGGTCCCCCAGTTGGTTTTTCTTTGATCTCTGGTTGACTTCACTGCCATGGCCCTGTTGCCTATGTCCTGACCCTCCACTGTGCTGTCTGTGCTCCAGAATTTTCAGCTGGAAGAAGAGGGAAGTTGCACAAGAGAAAGAAGGCATGAAGAGCCCATGTGGCTCCTGCTTCTGTTACAGAAAGGATCATTTTGATCCCCGGGGAGGGGCAAAATAACCCCTTTTCTGTGCCAGTGTCTCAGAATTTGCTTTTGCTGCCTTGCTCTAATTGTCCCAGAACCATGGAACAAAGTTCAGAGAGGTGGTGAAAGCAAAACAGAGTCCTCTAGGGCTATAAGTATTAATAGGCAGCTGTGAATTTAGCTTTACATCCATTACTTAAGGACAATCATCAGTTTTCTCTGTCTTTAGTTTACATAAGGTATAATTTTATATATGGACTTTTGGTAAATCAGAGTTTACGATAGTAACCATCTCTATCACAAAGGTCACGTCTTGTACTGTCTGTGATCAATCTGGCCTGGATCCAGACAGGTAACAGAAAGATCATCTGCTTGTAAATTCAGCCTGGTAATAAATGGTCCTTTTTCATTTTCAGTATAGTGACTCATCTCTTTTGCAGTAGAGTAAGTGACCCAAGTTTAACAATTTCTAATTAGTTCAAAGGGAACATTAGATCACAGATGTGGAATTAATGTATTTAAATGCTATTTAAAAACATAGATTTAATTTTTAGATACTTATACCCAGTATCTAGCTCAGAATAGACTTCAAGGTGTTATAAAATCTCGGGAAAATGTGCATCTTCAGCATCTATAACCTAAGTGAAATTCAGAAAGATATCTATGACAAATAAACATTCTGCATCGCTACAGTTAAGAATTTAGTGTAAAGTCAATGATTTGTAACTAAGTTTTTTTCTCATTCTCCTTACTCTCACTGCCTACACAGAATATGCACATAGCCCCACTTAAAGCCTTGAATTTAGAATATGAAATTCATTGTAGGTGTTTGGCAAAGCATGTTATCCTGAAATAATACATGAAGAATGATTTTTGGTTGCTGTTAGAATCTTATGCTTCAGGTTCATGATGTTGATATATTCCAAATATCTTCTAAAACATTTCATGAATAGCCTTTTTCTCCTCATGCATCAATTTTCACAGTATTTGAAGCAAACAATAGAATGTTAAATGGAAATTGCTGCTAATGAGTCTTGCTCACGTCACTCACTGTTGAGAAGTGACTTCGTGTAATTGAAAGATCTCTGGATGAAACCAAAACAACTCCAAAGTTTCACCTCACACCCCACAAACTGGCAAAAATGACAAGAAATGGCAACAGTCAACGTTGGAGGGTTTGTGGGAAGATAGGCCCTTTAATACATTGTTGGTGGAGCTGTGAAATGATACAACCATTTTGGAAAGTAATTTGGAATAATGCAAATAAAGTGACTAAATGTCCATACTCTTTGAACCAGAGACTGTGTTACTAGGCTTAGACCCCAAGAAAGCTATTGATAAGAAAAAAAAAGCTCCCAAATTTGTAGCAGCACTTTTTTTGTGAGAGCTAAGGTTGGAAATAAAGTAGATGCCCATCAATTGGGGGAATTGCTAAACAAATTTGTGGTACATGAATGTAATGGAATATTATGCACGGCAGGAAATGATGTGTGTGATGAATACAGAGAAACATGGAAAGACCTATATGAACTGATGGAGAATGAAGTAAGCAGAGCCAAGAAAACAATATATACCATAACCGTAACAATGTAAATGGAAAGAACAATCACACAACAAAAAATCAAAAGAAATGTAACAAAATTATAAAGATCAAGCAAGACTTGAATGGAGAGGAGAAGACACCCCCGACCCACCCCTTTGTGGAGATGTGAGGGCCACAAGGTTACACATTGCACGTGTTTTTAGACTTTCTCAATGTATCCATCAGTTGTACTGATTGTTTTTTCCTCTCAAAAACAGACAAAAACCACTGTCTGCCATATTGGACAGCTCTTGGGGAAGGGAAAAGAGAAGGATACATGGGATACTATGGAGATGTAAAAAACAGAAAACGTCAATTAAAAAAGTTATTTTTAAAAAAAAAGGGAGAGCTTTGGACTTGGAGGGAGAAGACCTGGATTTGAGTCCCAGCTCTGTTACTTATTAGTAGTAGAACTTTGGGCAAGTCCCTGAGCCTCTGGTCTCAATTTTCTGTACAATGGGGATAATCCTACTTGCACTGTCTCCCTCACAGGGTGGCTCTGAGGAAAGTACTGTGTCAACTATGAAGTTCCATAAAAAAAATGTGCTATTATTATTTTCCTTTTTTAAAAAAATATGAGGCAATTGGAGTTAAATGACTTGCCCAGGGTCACACAACTAGTGAGTGTTATGTGTCTCTGAGGTCGGATTTGAACTCAGGTCCTCCTAACTCCAGGGCTAGTATTTTATCCACTGCTCTACCTAGCTGCCTCTACTATTATTTTCAAACTGCTTTTTCTGAACATTTTGCAGTTTTTCTCTGTGAAACAGAGAGATAGCATGGTAGGGTGGAAATTGAAGTAGAAACCAAGAGACATAAGGTTATTTCAGTCAGTCCCCTCTCTGGGCCTCAGTGTTCTCATTTGTAAAATGGGGGTTGGATGAGGTGAATTCCGGTGTGCTTTGCAGATTTTGCATTCTGTGATTAGGAAACAATTTGTAGGGGCAGGGAAATGAGCATTATTAACCCACAGTGTTTTGTCTTGTTCTTATTGGCAGAGATTATGCCAGCAAAATACTTAAGGAAACTGTAAATGAGATGCAGGAATTGGGAACATTCACCAGTCTTCTGAAAGCTTTGGACAAAGAGAAGGAAAAAAAAGCAAATTTCTGTAAAGCCATTGCCAGGTCAGAGTAATCTTAAGTATATCTGCTTTGGTACATTTAAAAAAAAATTTTTTTAGGCAATTGGGGTTAAGTGATTTGCCCAGAGTCACACAGCTAGTAAGTGTGTTTGGTTTGAGGCCGAATTTGAACGCAGGTCCTCCTGACTTCAGGGCTGGTGCTCTATCCACTGCGCCACCTAGCTGCCCCTGCTTTGGTACATTTTAAGATTTAAAAAAATATTCTTATCAGAGTTTCTGATTTCTGAAGCAAATTGACATTTATTTACTCACATACTGTGGGTTTGGTTGTGCCTTCAAGTACGCTTTTCCCTTTTGGAGCCGGTTGGAAATTTAGAACCGAATCAATCAGATTCATTGTCATGATCCCCCAAATGCTAACATCACTCTGTGGAAATTGACCCCACAGCTCATTAAGGGCTGCCTCTCCGGTAAGCTGCCCCTGCCTGATCCTAGAACCCATCTCCTTCATGCCCATTATGGAACCTAGTCTTCATTGATGTGACTTCACACCCATCAACCCCTTGTTCTGATTTCAGTAACTAATGATAGTTAACATCTATAGAGCATTAAGGTTTGCGAAATGCTGCGCGTGTTATCTTAGGATTGATCCTCACCACAACCCTGTGAGGGGGCTGTTATCTAGTTGTTGTTGCTTAGTTGTTTGTGTGTGACTCTTTGTGACCTCATGGACCATACTGCTGGCCATGGGGTTTTCGTGGCAAAGACTGGAGTGGTTTGCCATTTCCTTCTCCAATGAATTAAGGCAAACCAAGGTTAAATGACTTGCCTAGGATCTCACAGATGGTAAGAAGAGGAGAGGTGACACACTATTGAAAAATAATAAATGTTGGAACTACGCCCAAAGGGCTACAAAAATGTGCATACCCTTTGATCCAGCAATAGCACTTCTAGGGCTATATCCCCAAGAGATCAAACAAATGGGAAAAGGACCCACATGGACAAAAATATTCATAGCAGCTCTTTTTGTGGCAGCAAAGAATTGGAAATTGAGAGGATGCCCATCAATTGGGGAATGGCTGAGCAAGTTGTGGTATATGAATGTAATGGAATACTACTGTGCTATAAGAAATGCTGAACAGGCTGACTTCAGAAAAACCTGGAAAGACTTGTATGGACTGCTGTTTAGTGAAGTGAGCAGAAACAGGAGAATGTTGTATACAGTAACAGCCACATTGTGCGGTGACTAATATTGATAAATTTAACCCTTCTCAGGAATACAAGGATCTAAGACATCTCCAAAGACCTCATGATGGAAAATGCTATCCATAAAGAAGAAAGAACCATGGAGTTTGAATGCAGATCGAAGCATACTGTTTGGTCTTTTTTTTTTTCTGCTGTGTTTTGTTTCCTCTTTCTGGTGGTTCCTCCTATTGGTTCTAATTCTTACTTACAACATCACTAATATGAAAATATGTTTAATAGGAATGTATATGTATAGCCTATATCAGATTGCGTGTCATCTTGGGGAAGGAAGTGGGAAGGGAGGGGGAGGAAAATTTAAAACTCAAAAGCCTATGGAAGTGATTGTTGATAATTCAAAATAAATTAATTTAAAAAATTAAAAAATATAAAAAAATAATAAATGGAATGAGAGTTATGCTAAGAAGCAGGGGATGCTTACGTACTAAATGGCATAGTACATGGCATAGGTTTAGAAGGTGCTGTGGGGTCCAAATGGACAGCTAGGTGGCACCATGCATACAGCACCAGGCCTGGAGTCAGGAAGACTCATTTTTATGAGTTCAAATCTGGCCTCAGACTCTTACTAGCTGTGTGACCCTGGACAAGTCATTTAACCCTATTTGTCTCAGTTTCCTCATCTGTAAAATGAGCTGGAGAAGTAAATGGTAAATCGCTCTAGTATCTTTGCCAAGTAAACTGCAGATGGGGTCACGAAAAGTTGGACATGACTGAAATGACTAAACAAAAACAACAATAAAAATGGAGTCCAAATTAATTTCTTTTAGAAATCAGAAAGAAAAAGTTCTACAACATGACAAAATCTGATATTCTTTAAAAAAGTTCTATGAATGGTCTAAGGATCCCCACAGTTTTCCAAGCTTCTTTCAAGGGCTCCACAAGGTCAAAGCTATTTTCATAATAATATTAAGATTTTATTTGCCTCTTAAAATATTTCCCCCATTTCTAACTAATATATATCTGTTGGGGTTTTGTTGTTGTTGTATTTTTTTTGTTATTGAGGCAATTGGGGTTAAGTGACTTGCCCAGGAACACACCACTAGTAAGTCTCAAGTGTCTGAGGTTGGATTTGAACTTAGGTCCTCCTGACTCTAAGGCCAGAGCACTATCTGCCATCTAGCTGCCCCTCCAACTATATATCTGCATGAGGCTGAAATTTCTTCATATGCTTCAATTAAAACTAGGTATCAACTATGTTGTAAGTAAGAATTAGAACCAATAGGAGGAACCACCAGAAAGAGGAAACAAAACACAACGGAAGAAAAAAAAGAGCAAATAGTATGCTTTGATCTGGCTAAATGCAGAAGCAGATATTAGAAACCAACTGTATTCTATTAAGCCAGATATTAAAGGTATTTAGAAAAAATATGTAAAACAGCAGCACTCTTCTCAATATTCTTTTGTTTTATGAAATATAGCTTTTTTCACAAAACGTTATTTATGTTAACATGTAATAGATTTATTATTGTTATTTTCAAAAGAATTAATAAAGTGATATTTAAAAAAAGTTCTATGAACTCCAGTTTTTCTTTGGCATGGTTTTTATTGTTTTTGTGAGTGTCCTTATACTGTTCTTAGGGATTGTGTATGAACTTCATCATATTTTTCAAGGAAGAAATATTTAGCCTCAACAAAGCATTCTGTGACCATATTAAAGGTCCTTCTATATCAAGCTTTGGTTTTGTGGACATAAAGTTCCACATAAGGAAAATTATTCTAGCTAGGTTAGAATGGGGACAGCCTGGTGACTGGGAGAAAAGGTAAAAATTTATGAAGGCTTGAATGAGTTCTTTGATTAGTACTCTTCAAACTCTATTAATTAGTTTGGTAGTAGTAGTAGGGGTACTATGATACTTGATCCAAAATAAAATCCTGCCTGATAGTTAGGTATGTGCTTTGTAAATAAAGGTTTTCTTCTTCTCTAAAAATGTCAGAGTAAAGTAGATATACCTGCTTTGGTACAGACGTTTAGCAAGAGTTTTTTGGCTGAGTGTAATGGAAATGTTTGATACAGGCAGAGGACGTGGTACTTGGGGTATATGTGGTACAACATTGATTAGAACAAGAGTTACATTTTCCAGTGAATCTCTAAGGTGAACCATAACTTCTGTTTAGTGCTTAATATACTAACTGTTTCTTCTCCTTCTCTCATTTATTTTAGGGAGGAAAACATGAAAAAACAGATAAAATCTCTCCAGAAAGAGCTTCAGGACATCAAAAACCAGCGGCAAGTGGAAGCACAGGTCAGAATCCCTTTACAACTGGAGTAGCACAGGCATCAGTGGTTACTGATCTGACAGAAATGTAAAGTAGGAATATTCCTTCCCCATATAAAGCTTTTATTGAGGAAGGGTTGTTATGGGTTCTCCATGAAAAATTCACTCTTGAAGATGTATTTTGTTGTTGTTGAATCATTTCGATTGTGTCTGACTCTCTGTGACCCCATTTGGGGTTTTCTTGGCAAAAATACTGGAGCAGCTTGCCATTTCTTAGGTAGTGCAGTGGAGAGAGCTTGGGACGTGGGATCAGGAAGAATCTGGCCTCAGACACTTACTATTTTTTTTTCTCATTTCTAAAGTAATTGTAGCCTGGGAAGTGACTTAGAGGCCTAGTTCCAGGCAAAACAAAGCCAAAGGTGACCCCTCTGGGATCAGAGTGATTCCAGGAGAAGAGTCCAAGCTTCCAGTGGGGGGAGGTTGGAGAAGGCTGGGGGACGAGCATGGTGGCTCCAGTGCATGTGACATGGATTGGAAATGGTGACTGGGAAGTGATATTCATGATGGTATATTCACAGCAGGCCTTTTTGTGGGAGCAGGGGTTTAGAAACAAAGTAAGGTCCTGTCGACTGGGTGAAGAGAGGCCATCTGGTGGAGCAGATGGAACACTGGACTTGGAGCCGGGGAGACAATGCTTCCAAATCCACCTCGGACCCTTCCAACTCTGTGACCCCGAGCAATTCACCAACTTTCTTGGGTTCGAGTTCTCTGATCTGTAAAAGAAGGAGCTCGGACTCAGTGATCACGAGTGGGCTTCCTTCTAAGCTCAGAATCTATGATCCTACGAACAGGAAACGGCTGATCAGTCTGTGCTGTGGGTAGCATGTGATGGTGCCATGTAGACAGCACAAATAGGTCTTCAGAGAAACATGACCTGATACAAACTGAAGTAAGCAGAAGTAGGAGAAAATCATACAGGGTGACTGGAAAATGTAAAAGGGGGAAAAATAAAATGGAACTGATCAAAGATAGCCTTGGGAAAAGACGTGAAAATGCAACTTTTGTTTGGAGGAGGGACACTGTGGGTGTGGGTTCTTGCATGTGCTATCAGAAGCAGGCAGTGATCTACTTTTCTGTAGATACTTTTGATAGTTACTACTTAGTATGGTTCGAGATCTAGTGGCTCCAAGCACCCTGATGTCCTGCTCTTTTCCAGGATACCTCTTAGTATTCTTGACCTTTTATTTCTCCAAATGATTTTTTTAATTTAAAAAAAAATTAACTTTTAAATTTTGGGGGGCTAGGCAATGAGGTTAAGTGACTTGTCTAGGGTCACATAGCTACTAAGTATCAAGTGTCTGAGGCTGGATTTGAACTCAGGTCCTCTTGCTGCCCCCTAATTTGTTTATTTTTAACATTTGTTTTTTAAAATATTGAGTTCTCATGACACTTACTAGCTGTGTGACCCTGGGCAAGTCACTTAACCCCTATTGCCTCACCAAAAAATAAATAAATAAATAAAATGAAATATTGAGTTCTAAATTCTCTCCCTCCTCTCCCCCATCCATTGTGAAGGCAAGCAATATGATATCAATTATACATGTGAAGTCAAGCAAAACATATTTTAACTTTAGCCATGTTGCAAAAGACAAAAAAAAAGCAAGAAAAAAAATGAAGTGATAAAATTTTGTTTCCATCTGCACATAGAGTTCATTAGTTCTCTCTCTGGAGGTAGGTGGCATTTTTTTCATCATGGGTCCTTTGGAGATGACATGATCATTTGTTTTGATCATTGTCTTGATCAGAGTAACTAAGTCTTTCATGGTTGATCATAGTTATAGTACTCCTATTACTGCGTAAAATATTCTCCTGGTTCCACTCATTTCACTTTGCATTAGGTCATATAAGTTTTTCCCTGTTGTTCTGAAACCATCACCTTTATCATTTCTTACAGCACAATAGTATTCCATCACAATCTTATACCACGACTTGTTCAGCCATTCCCCAATTGATGGGCATCCTCTCAGTTTCCAATTCTTTGCCACCACAAAAAGAGCTGCTATGAATATTTTTGTACAAGTCTTTTTCCCTTTTTTTTTTTTGATCTTTTGGGGATACAGCCCTAGTAGTGGTACAAAGGCTTTTATAACCCTTTGGGCATAATTCCAAATTGTTCTCCAGAACTCCATTCACTTTTGAGTTACCCATGACTGTACTTCAGACTGTAGCATTCTTATTCACAGCTATCTTTTCTTTCATTTCTCATTAATGGCGAATAATACTAGGCATATGAACTGTCTTTTCCTTGCTACTTGTAATTTTTTCTCTCTGATCTGTGAGATCTGCAGCTTAGGAGCCACATTTTTGGTGGGCCAGATTTGAGGTTCCTCTTTAGCAGCAGCCTGTGGATTCTGTTGAGATACATATCTTCTTCTGGTTCCAATACTTTTGGACAATTGTCTATTATGATTTTCTGAAGTATGATATTTAGGTTTTTTGTTTGTTCATCATGCTTTTGTGGGAAGTCAATGACTCTTAGATTCTCTTTCCAAATCCTGTTTTCCAAGTCAGTTCTCTTTTTTTATTGTAAATACCTCGAATGTTCTTCTAGTTTTGCTGTCTTTTGACTTCATTCTAATATCTTCTGTTATATTATTGAAATTTTGAATTCCCATCTCATCACTTCCCCCCCCCACCAGGGTGGCCCCTGTTTGGCTGCTGTTCTAAGCTATAGATTTTCAAGTTTTTCCATTAAAGAGCTCTCATTTCACATTTTATCTTTTTCTTCCTGTTTTGTTAAACCTTCCAACAATTTCCTGGTTGTAGTTATTGCAGGTTTATTCTTTCTTTCTGGCGTTTGATCGTGTCATTCTCTTGTCCCATAGCATTTTTCATTGTATTAAAAGCTGCTCTCTACATGCTCATTTCTAGTATTACTGCTGTTTTTTTTTTCTTCTAAGATTTTTCTTGTGAGGATGTCTTTTCCTCCCCCTTTTTTCAGTTGTTGCTACTCATCTTTTAGTTTATTTGGAGCATTATCTAGCTGTTTTGCAGTACTGAAGGGAATACCTCAGGTAACACAGAACCTCCCAGTCATTTGTCCAGAAAATGTCCTCAGCCTCCCCCTCTTCCTATCACTAACCCTACTTTCTCAGCTAATTACAAAGCACCTTTTGGTGTTTGTGTTAGGACATCATTTTCCCTCTCAGCTCTTTGCTTTTGTTCTTCAGATACCACTTTAACTCTCTGGGAGTTTTCAGCAGTTTCACAGAAGCTGACTTGTACTCTTATTTGGGTGAAAACCCTGTTCTTGGGTTTCATTTCAGTCTTTATCCTGTATTACAAAGCTCTTCCCCTCCCCCTACTCTCTCCATTACTACCTAACCTTTCTTGACTCTCTTTTACTACCTAATAACAGGAGATATTCATCTTCACCTCCTTTCTGGTTTCACAAAAAGAAAAACAAAAGGAACATCTCATTAAAGGAATTTTATATAGTTACAGGCAAGGCAAAATACCACATCCAGAGAGAATTTTCAAGATTTTGTACTCTGCCAGCTTTGTTCCTTCCCTCTTAACTCTCTAGCCCCTTAAAAGCGTGTTGATTATAGAGTTTTCTGAGCAACCACATTCACCCACTCTAGGTACAGATAGTCTTGGCTCACATTCTTACTGCATTTAGCCACAGGAAAGAGTAAAAAGCAATCTAACTCCCCAAAAAAACATAATGTCATTCTGAAGCTACAGTGGTAGTGGATCACAGAGACTGTGTGGGAAATCAGCACCCAAAGAACTGAGACAAAGCAGGGAACAAAAAGTGTGTGGGAAGTGTGGGAGTGAGACAGACTGAGGAATAATAATAGCTAGAGTTTTTCTATCACTTTGAAGTTTGTAGCATGCTTTGCAAAAAAATTGCAAAAAAAGAGGCAGTTCCTTTCCCAGACAAGAAACTTTTGACACACTTTCTGCTTGAGGCATGAACCTGTGGTGTTCCACAGGTGAGCAACATTGGGTACACAGGTTAAATTGGCTAAAGTGTTGAGCAAAGGGTCAGCGATAAAGACAATTTCTTACACAGAGCGTAGCCACAGAAAGGCAATTTAGTGGCAAATCTTTAGAAATGTTATTTTTGGAAAACTTCCATTCGCTTGAATGTCTTGAGCCTTCCATGAATTTAGCGGTAGAAACATAATAAATGTTTGTGTCATTAAATTAATATGAATTGCCATGTCATCTTGCTGTTATTTCTGAATGTTGTGATTGAAATTTAATAAAAGGATAAACTGAGGCAGGCTTCTCTGAGCAAAGTTATGGTAGGAGTGCTACTCACCAATAAAGCAAGTCTCCTGTACCCTTGAATAGCCAGAAGACCTCAAATTGAGGGTGCAATACAATTTTTTTATAAGCATAGAACAAAAAACAGAACAAAAATCACATCACTGGTTATAGGATTGGTAACGTCATGGAATTAGGAAGTTATGATTGATTACAATAAGGAATGTAGGCATAAGCACACGTGGACCAGGCCTCTGTCTCTAAGGAATGCTTTTGTGAATTTATGGGGTCCAGCTGCATTTTGAGATCCTTGATATCAGACAGGTGCACCAGACTCAATTCACCTGGGCATAAGATAAAGCCACCTGAAATTTATAAGGATGGGACACGGTCATCTTAGTCTGGTTCTCAAGGATGGCATATGGATATCATTCAGTTTCTCAGAGACTGAAGTTATGTGAAATAACAAACTTCCCTTGGCAGGAATGATTTGCAGGTATTGCTAAAATAACAATTTCCATGCTCAGAGATTCTCTTTAATTAACAGTGATTATGGGAGTTGCAGCTTCTTCTTGTTCAGCCACGTCCCACTCTTTGTGACTCCATTTGGGGTTTTCTTGGCAAGTGTTTTGCCATTTCCTTCTCCAGCTCATTTTACAGATGAGGAAATTGAAGAAAAAAGGATTAAATGACTTGCCCAGGGTCACACAGTTAGTAAGTGTCTGAGGCTGGATTTGAACTCATGAAAACGA